TTGTTGTTTCTGTGTAGTATTTGTGTTATTAGATGTAGGATTGTTATCAATATCCATGTTGTTAGTATTATATTCTCGTTCAGTTAAAGTAAGAGGGCCAAGTCCAAAGGACAGAAGGTTGTTAGATCTATATTCCTGTAATGATTGTTGTAATTTTTGTATAAATGTATCTTTACTAGTAGAGGAACCTTGTTGAGTATCGTAAGAAGAAGTTTTTTGTGAAGTAGATTCAGTTTCAGTATAAGATTTGTAATAGAGTTTGTCATTGAACAATATAGCATCTGCTGCTAAGTAGTGTAGATTGTTAGTTGTTTTGCAACTGATAGGCTTTTTGCATTTAGCACATTCATGGTGATGTATATTGGGTGTTGGAGATGCAGTTGGAGAGAGTAAGATAAATTGAGTTGCTTGTTCAATTTCGGCTGTGATATTTTTAAGATTATTAGTATTCTTAACAGTAGTTACATTTGTATCTTTTTCGTAGACTTGGTTGTTTTGAGAGATGAATTGAGTGTGGTACTTACCACAAATACAAGTAACAGTGGATAACATAAGTAGAGCTTGAAAGAAGTGTATAGTTTTAGTTTTTTTTTAAGTTCGGTAGAGATACAGTTGGTAGGTTGTTTGTTAGTAGAAATTGGACGAGATACATTAGCTATATCTTCGAAAATCCTGATTCTATAGCTATTTGGATGGTTCTTGTGAAAGTAATCGAGATCAATAGTATCTGAGCTTATATTTGTCAAGGTAGGCATCTTGGTAATAAGTTTGCTTAAGGACTAAACTTTGTTTGACTTAGTAAAATTTTTTGTAATAAGATTTTAAAGGTTTTTAGTAATGTAAAATTAAGGGTTTGACAGGGTAGATATAAGTAGGGGTTATTGTATTACTACTGAGCTGATGTAGCTTGTGTAATCTTGTGTAACCTTGTATATTCCAAATTGGTCTAAGGTGATATGGAGATGTGGCTAGTGTGGCTAGTATAACAGAAGAGTTACACATAACACTAAACTGCGTATTGGTGTACAAGGATAGTATAAAAATAGAAATAGGTAATAATTATAAAAATAGTTTTGTATTAATAATTGGATTGCTATTTTAAGTAATTTGATTGTTATAATAGAAAATTTAAATAAATCTAAATTTGGAGATGATCTTTATTACACGAAAAATGGGTTGAGAGAAAAAAGTTGGGGGTAAAAACAAAGAATTTTTTAAAGAGTTTTTACAAGAGAGCAAAAGAGTTTTTATTTGTAATTTGGTCAATATTAGGTCAAAAATCTTTATTAAAGTCTTGTTTTAACCAGATGAGTGAGCTTAACAACTTATCTTAGAACCACAGGATAAGTTGTAAAGGCAGTTCTAGAGAAATATTTAAAAGTTTAGATTCTAAAACCAAAAGTAGTTTTTGTAGCATTATGCTACAAGTTTTCAGGATAAAGACTTAAAACTTTCAAATTATATGTAAAATTTTGAGCTGAGCAATTTTACTTAAGATGCTAAGGGCAGTTGTCTTAATAAAATATTGTGTTGTTAACAATTTTTGACTAGTGAATTTTTAGTTAAGTTTTGTATAAGTGATTGATGGGAAAAGTTATTATCAAGACAATGTTTTTGTAAATAATAATTATATAATTATTATATGTTTTTATATTAGAAGAATAAATATAATTTTATATAATAAATATATTATAAAAATATAATAAAAATATAAAAACTTAAATTTAAAATAGAATTTTAGTTAGAATAACCAGTAGTAATCATTAATGGTATATAATTAGCCAATAACGATAAACCAAAAAAAGATTTTATTTCATTTACTTTAGAGTTAGAGTGAGGCCTGATATTTTAGCAAAGTGTTAAATATATGCAAAATTTAACAAGAAATTTTTTTTGATAGAATGTTGAAGATAGTTTTCTAGACGAATTCTTGAGATATTGATATTTTTTAAAAAATCTTTATTTTTGTTATACAAATTGATTTGCACATTACATCTGATTCTGCAAATCTATTAGCTAATTATATACTGGTAATAATCACCACCAGTTATAGTTACTAAAATTTTTTAAAATATATTTAAATATTATAATTACAGTCTTTCCTCTTTATAATCACACTTTTGGGCAGATCAAAATCTGTGATTATATAGAGGTGTGATTATATATTAAAATCATCTTGATCACATAATAGAACATTGATATATGTATAATATAAATACTGTACAAATTTGTTTAACTCTGATAGTTGATATTAGGTTATAAACCATAGAATATAAATATTTAGGATTTATTAGACATTTTATTTTAGAAGAATTTAGAGAACATATACTATTCTCGACCAAGGGCAAGAGTGGACCTTATATAAATTTCAATTTTATAGAGTACTTACATTATAATAAAAGCATCTGTATTATATTTTTGGCTTTGACACTAAGATCTTAATAAATTGTATATTTATATAATTTAGTGTATATGTTGTAATGGGTAATATGACCTAGCCATAGTTATGAAATATGATTCAAGCCACATAACTTGGGATTTGAATACAGATTGATCAACAAAGTGAAGGCATTTAATAATGCTAATTTGGGTTTGGCTTAAGGCGATGTTTCATTAAGAACAATAGTAAGGCATCATTGGTATTCACATGGTAGAAACTAAAGTCATTGTCATGTAAATGAGTATAAATTGCTTTTAGTAAACTATAGATAATTCACTGATACTATAAATAACTATACAGTATTTTACTTATAATGATCTTAATTATAGCAAAGCCCCAATGCTCATAATGTATAAGGTTCCTTAATTTTATGTAACTAACAGAAGCAAGTATATAATAAGCCATTATAAGGATATCTAATCTGAGGATCCTAGTAGAAGTAGAATCCTTAGTTTTTGGTTCAAATCTTCTATATCTTTTTTCAAGTAGCCTAGTCTTTGTTGTGATTTAAGTTATGAGAACTGGCAACCCCAAAACTTCACTTTTACAATATACATGGTTATATAAATTAGGCCACCAAGAATATATAACAATATCTAATATTACTAGTGATACAATCAATATAACTGTGGATGTGACAACTTAGTGAAGTTGGTAAGTTGTCGCACTCCTAAGTGGTAGGACAAGAGTTCAAATCCCACTGATGATGAAATTCAAATTTTATAGAATGTGTTATGGCAAACTCTGTGTAATCTGACAGATCAGCATCTGTAACCTTGGTCACCAGCTAGTACTGGAAGAATGCGGAATAGTAGTATAATGCAAGAGATATACAAAACCCAAGTGATGTTTTTGAGTAAATCCAGGAAATCAGGGTATACAGAAGCTCACTTAGCAAGTTCCAAATAGAGAGGTAGTACAAATCTTTGACAATACTATATAAAGGATAATCATTGGCAATCGGACCTAATAGTAAAACTGAACGAGGACCCATGTTTGGCAAGGCACCACACTAACCAGGCTATGTGAATATGAGGAAAAGGATTTATTAGAATACTAGAGGACATAAGTTCCTTCTGAGCCATCTGGATTAGAAGTTTAGAAATACTGTTAGCATTGTTGTCAATTTTTAATGTCCGCGCCAAATTTGGCAGACCAGATATTTTCAGATATTGTCTGACGTCCGAGTCCGAATTTTGTCTAAGTAAATCTAATGTCGCTCAGACAATATCCGCGAGTAATATATCTTGGACTCAGACACTCGGACACGGACATGTCCGAGTTTGTACTATGAATTTATCATTCACACACTAATGCTAATATTTATTTATTAATCAACTATCGATTACACTATAATTACAACCCGTATAACGAACCCGACTATTGATTACACTATAATTACAACCCCGCATAGCGAACCTGACTATCGATTACACCATAATTCTCTACAACCTATGTAATGAACTCAACTACCGTTATGCCATAATGATGACGGAATGTCCTCAACACGTCTTCGTGAACCAAACTTATAACGCTGATCATGAAACCTAAAGAGAAAAAAAGAATTTAGTAAAGAAAAAAAGGTAAAAAATGAAGAGAAAGACTAACACTTATCTTATTTAAAGCCTAGTCATTGGCCTCGAAACCAATGAAGCCAAACCTAAAGCAAAACTAAAGATAAAAAAAAATTAGTAAAAAAAAAAAAAATTAAAACCGAAGAGAAAAACCAGCACTTATCTAAAGCCCTAGTCATTAATCCCAAAACCAATGAAGCGAAACCTGAAGCAAAAACTAAAGAAAAAACATTAGCAAAAAAAAAAAAAGTTAAAGAAAAACAAAGAGAA